CTCCCGGCCTTCCGTAAAGCCGTCAAAACCTGGCTGTTCCGGCAGGCCTGGGGCTGTTGATTATTATCCAGCCCTGCTTAGATAGAATGGATGATATGGAATTTTAATATTTTCTTTTCTTTTCTTAAATTTTAATTGTTTCTTTGTCTTGCTGTGAGCCGCCCAGAGTCCCGATGGGAGTGGGTGGCATACAAATTTTAAAAAAGGAAGTTATTGATTCACATGAAACAAACACAATAGAAACACAAACCTGGTAAAAAATATGGAAATTCCTTTCCTGGGGGGCTTGATAAGCAACTCTTGTTTTCTCCAGAAGAAAAGTCTGAACGGAAGCGCTTGTTAAAAGCTGAGATCTGCAGAATGGCAGTTTAAAATTACATTTATAGACTCTCTAAGAGCAGTGGAAAATCAGCAAAATGTACATTTCCCGTTCTATTCCAATAGGCCCTTCTTCACAACACAGGCTTTCCTAACCCAATGGATAAAAAAAAGGATTATACTTCAAGAAAGCCAATCAATGGCCACAAATGCTGAGGATTCTGGAAGATGTAGTTTCAACATATTTCATGGGCATTCAAAGTAGGGAGGATGGCCAATGCCAATGAATAATGCAAGCTCCATCCTTCTACCTTAATGCCTCATTGGTTGTCTTGCTTGTTTAGATCCCACCCCTGGATGCAATGCATAAATCCTTGCCTAGAATACAGGCAGTCCTTGACTTACAACTGGTGGCTTAATGACCATTATTACAGGCATGGAAGGGGTGCTTTATGGTCCCGAAAGCTTTTGTGGCAATTATGAAGTGCCTTGCCACCTGCTCCTCCCATAGCAGTCATGTGACCACTTGGCAACCAGTGAGCTTTTATGATCAGACGCAATGTGCCCCAATCATGTGACCATAACCTGTGACTTTTTTTTGTCGGTTTCTGGCATTTTCTTTGCTGGTTTCTGGCAAAACCACCAGTTTGGAAGAATGGTTCACACTTAGGAATCCATATAACGATTGTGGATTTGTTTCACAACCACAGTGAATTGCTTAATGACTGCTGCAAAAAGTGTCATAAAATCAGGTCTAATCACAGGAGTCCCTTGACTTATGATTGTAGTGACTTAAAACCAGCAATCCAGTTGCAATCTGAGTCATAAATCAGGGACTCCCTATATGTCATCTTACAAATATATTTTCCAGAGCTTCAGATTGGATTGGAGATCAAATCCATTGACACTTTTTTTTTTTAATCTATATTATAAACGTAAAAGTCCTGGAAGAAATGCTTAAAATCACCAGGAGGTGAACTGGAATCAAAGGAAATATTATCTTTTTAACCTTAAAATCTAAAACTTGATCATTGCAATAAGTTTTTAAAAAATCACAATGCGAGTGAATTGTGAGTACCTATTTAAGTGAAGTTGGATGTATTTCCCAAATCGGCTGCTGTTGTTATTCCGAAGGGTGCATGCGTTTCCTGTGAAATTAACAAAAAAATTGCAATATGCAAGACACGCGTATTTATCACAAAGGTTAAAGGAAGTATGAATTCAGGTAAAAGAGAAATCAGGCATTATGTTAACATGCAAGGGGATTTGACATAGCATGCTGTGTAAACTTGGCTGTGATTTGTGTGTGTGTGTGTGTGTGTGTGTATACGCATGTAGCCTAAAATCCTGTTTTTTCTATAGTCTATCTAGCTAATAATGTTGAAAACATATTGTACCATTTCTCACTATTCAAGGCAGGTAAGTAATGCAAAGCTCAGAACTGGAGTAATATAATAATTAAAAAATGTCATCTCCCAAACCAATTTTACCCAATTAGTTTAATTGCCTTACATCTTGTGGCCCTCAAGGTCCCCAAATGTGGCCACTCCTTTATATAATTTAGTGCCTTTTGTGAATCAACCAGTTGTGGGTTGTTGTTGGTTTTCCTTTTCTTTTCAAAATGTAGCTTGGGGCAATGTAGAAAGCCGGTCACTCTTTTTTTTCATGGCTGGGTTTAGACAATTTTAGTTGGGTTTGTCTGACTTCGTAACCGGCTGGAAAAACTACATGCAAGAATTATGTCTTGAGGAGTATTTTTAAACTAAGAAGTAAGTTTCTTCTTTTATCTAATAGGCTTTCTTCTTTTTGTACCTCTGTACAATTTTATTGTATCATAAAGTTTGTATTGCACCCCGTTTTTCACAGGTGTCTCAGCAAAACGGGCTGCAGTACAAACTTTATGTTTACATTACAATATTGCGCAGAGCAGTGATGGGATTCAAATAATTTAACAACTGGTTCTCTGCCCTGATGATCAGCTGGGTAGGCGGGGATCAGTGGTCATGTGACTGGGTGGGTGTGGCCAACTCAACGTCAGGTCGACGACCGCTTCGTCTTAGCTGTTACAATGTAACAAGGGTTAACTGGAGAGGCAGTTTCTGTAAGCAGGGTAATAAAGATTAGGCTAGAAACA